GGTAAATATCAGTGGAAATGATTTAAACAGAAATATGGGAAAAGGGTTGTAAATGTCAGTGTGAATGATTTATACAGAAGTATGGGAAAAGGGTGGTAATGTCAGTGGAAATAATTTACACAAAAGTATGGAAAAAGGGTGGTAAATGTCAGTGGAAATGGTTCACACAGAAATATGGGGAAAAGGTTGTAAATGTCAGTGTGAATGATTCACACAGAAGTATGCGTATAGGAAAAGGATTGTAAATGTCAGCGTGAATGATTTACACACAAGTATGGAAAAAGCGTGGTAAATGTCTGTGTGAAGGATTTACACAGAAGTACGGTAAAAGGATGGTAAATGTCAGTGTGACTGATTTACCCAGAAACAGGGCAGCAGGCAGTAAATAGTGTAAATGTGAGTGATTAACAAGAAGTATGGGAGAAGTAAATGTCAGTGAGTGCGATTTTTGACTTAAACTAGGAAATAATAAATGCTGCCGCAAATGTTTCATTCTCATCATATTATTAATGCAAACAAAGAGACAACTAAACTGCAGTTAGGCAACATAAAAGGAAAGACCCCAGATCGATAACTTTCGAGTGTTTTTTTTTTAACTCAACGGTGTGAGCGTTGATTGAGAAGTTCCATTTTGCCCAAACAACGCTGTCATTGTCGATCGTGTATCCCGTACACTTTGCTTCGCACACGGCTCCGTACTTGTTTCTAATGTTCGGAAGTAGGATTAAACTATTCAGGGAAAGTCACTCTGCCGAAAAACTTTTCATATATTTTTATATCAGAAACCACACGTGCATAATTTAATCAGATTTACAGTGAAACATTTTTCAACAATGCATTTTCTAAGTTTGTTTTCGAGTGCCATGAATACTGATGTTCCCACCACAAGTACAGGTCGCAGAATGCGTCTTTCTGCAGCCGAAGCTCTGAAATTGTTCCAGTCAGATGTTTTTAATACTGATAATGATAATGAAAATTTAGATTTCTCAGAAAGTGATTCAGGTGGTGTTTCACCAGCAAAGCTGAGTTTATTACACAGACAATGTCCTATTGCTACTATATTTATGGTGTAAGAGAAAGAAAGTGCTCTAAACAAAGAGACTGTACTATACTATGGCTAAGCTACATTGAAATTATCACAATTACAGTCTGTATATAACTGTACAAAGTAAATAGTGTGTGTGTAATGGCTTATTTTTCGGCCATTTTTTCTCTGAAATTTTGCTCAGCACTCTGTGAGAACTAATAGCCCCTGAGTGCTAGACTAACCCAGAAACTTATCACAACTTTGGAATTTGTTAGGAAATTGAACAAATTTTGAAGTTTTGTTCTCAAATTTGGATATTAACCACTCTTGTGGCTGCAAAATCATAGTTAGTGAAGAATTTGTTTGTAAAATAATGTTGTGAAATTAATACCTGCTGAATTCTTCTTACCTACTAACTAATTAAACATATACTTATCATCAGATTCAAAATGTACATTCATTTCTCTTTAAAAAAATATATACTTTTATTAGGATTAGAAGTATATTACATTCTCTACTGCCTTTCTTGCACACCCACTCCTCTGCCATTTCTGTAAAGGGAAATTAATTTGGGCCAAGTCTGTCAAAATTCATGGGCCTTAAAGATTTAAACAGGAGTTCGACTTACTGCTCTTTTGCAACCAATTACAGGTTAAATAGTAAATTCTGTTGTTAGATTATTCTGTTCACAATTTCTACCACTTCCTACAGAGTCTGTACTTAAATGATCAGCAATGTGCAAATGGCTAGTGAATATGTAACAAATGGAAAAGTCTAGAAAAGTTCAAAGAGAATCTGACCCCTTCCCCCACAAGATGAACACATCTAATGTAACATATTTGTGTCCATGACAGTGAGACACACACATCTAATGTATTTTTTGTCCTTTTGTCCACGACAATGAGACACACACATATCTAATGTATTTTTGTCCTTTTGTCCATGACACTGAGACACACACATCTAATGTAACAAAGTTGTATCCTTTTTGTCTATGACAGTGAGAAACACACATCTAATGTATTTTTGTCCTTTTGTCCATGACACTGAGACACACACATCTAATGTAACATAGTTGTATCTTTTTTGTCTATGACAGTGAGAAACACACATCTAATGTAACAAAGTTGTATCTTTTTTGTCTATGACAGTGAGAAACACACATCTAATGTATTTTTGTCCGTTTGTCCATGACAATGAGACACACACATCTAATGTAACATAGTTGTATCCTTTTTGTCTATGACAGTGAGAAACACAGTTCTTAGGACTTAACGTAGAGCTAATATGCTGATAAATGGAAAATAATCACGTGTAATAACGTAGTCACATATCCTTTACAGGACGTCATAAACAAATCCCAGCATTTGTTGTCTGTCTGTGGTTTTACTAGGCATTTTACGTTCAGTAGTGTGCCACTGAGCAACAAACTATGAACATTTCATTGTTGAAATCTTCTTCTTCTTCTTCTTTGTGCTGACCAGTTGTAAACTCCAGCGGAAAGTTCTGGCTGTTCATCCATCTCTGGACTTTGGTCTTGTTTCAGAACCTGATCGTTGAGTGCACAATTGTTTTACAGATCTGAGATATCTGTGTGCAGATTGTTGGACCTTTGATCTCTCAGACAGATGCACTCCGACTTTGAAGGATATCCCCAAACAGTCGATTGTTATAACACGCCTGTTGAGGAGGAGGCAGTGGGTCAGTTGTTTTCCTCACAATGGGGCCTCAGAACATTGCTGAAATCAATGTCAAGTGGACTGCTGCCAAATGCCCTGCAGTTAAACTGACCTGCTATTATGGAATTATGAAACTGAATTTATAACCCCTAAAGCAGAGGTGCTGACTCCCTGATAATGAACAATCTGGAAAACTGCCTAAAATCTGTGCCAGAAAATTACTTGGTAAGTAAAGGTGGCAGACATAATGCTGAATATATCATCCCTCAAGCGCTGGTTGGGTAATAAAATAAGGATCTGATGTACCATTGGTGTGAAAGGGTTTTTAATTTAATTTAACTGATTATTCCAGGTGTCTTTACATTCAAAAATCTTAGTTATCATTTTATGTCATGGGTGACTCCAGATACAGGATAATCAGAAGAAATGGTCTGTCTCTTCTCCGTGTGGGTTCCGGGGCCCTTGTTATAGGGAAAACAAGAACAGACCCACTCACTGCCTACCCAAAAGCATGTCGTAAGAGTCAACTGACTAGAAGCTTCCTTGAAAGTTAAAGTGCATCTGCAAGGAACCAACAGTCTGCATACAAATTAGTCAGATCTGTCAAACAGATGCACACGCAACACTTTCCGCCAGAGTTTACAGTTGGTGAACGCGAAGAAGAAAAAAGAATGGGCAATGACAGAAGGACCCCTATGTTGACAAAAGAATGCACTAACTATAACTATCATAATAACAGCAAGATGTCTTGTAGTTGGAAAAAAAAAATCAGTCCTATGAGTGATGCTGACTGCATCATCTATCAAGAGCCGACCCGTCTATGTAAATATGAATCTAGCTAGCATCATTTACCCAATGTGCCACTGGCGAGAAAAGAGTCCCTTGATTTTGCTTATAAAAACATATATGAATTAACTCGTCCAGTCCCAAACAACATGTGAAATGTGACGGGCTTTTTCCTTTAAATCCTAACCATTGCATGATGTTTTTGGTCACAGACTACTAAATAAATCCGGCAACTCCAAAAGACACACCAAATGTCTATTTAAATTCTCTAAAAGTAATGAATTCATGATTAATCAGGTCACAGATTTGTTCTCCACTTTCCAGCAATTAGATACATATATATATAAATGTAGTTTACAGCAGAACTGTTGCAAGTGGGAATACAAATGTTGATAAATATTAAACTAGTTGTATTTTACTAAAGAGAATTAATGCACATAGCCACATCCTATACAATTTTCTCATTTACAGCACGATTTCCAAATGGCAATCAATTGAACTAAAAAAACAAAAAACTGGGTAAACCACAATATATTATGTAAACAAAACCTAAACAAAACATTCCAATACCAACCATATATGATACAATTTAATGTAAGGCATATTTCGCTATATCTCACCAAGTGTCAAGTACAGAATACTAAGAAGGGGGGGGAAAAACAGACCCACTGCACCCCAACAAACATGCCGTAAAAGGTGTCTACATTAGAAGTGTTTCCTTCAAAGTTGGACCAACAGTCTGCACACACAAAAGGCAGATCTGGATGGCAAATTGTAAGTTATAGAACAAGATCAAAGTCCAGAAGTGGACAAACAACCAGAACTTTGCATCCGGCTTTTACATCAGGGTGAATGCTACTAAAAATCAAGGAATATCATGGAATGATAGACAAACGAATAAGGCAGGCCTCCTTGAGATAGATGAAAGCTGCCGATTTGAGATACGACACCTAGACCGCCAGTGTTTGTCTGACGTTTTATGAGAATAAATGGACTCGAAAACAAGGTAATGACTGACAAAACTGATGGAAAGAGAACAAAAGGAAGACAAAGAGATAAATACTAAGATGGCTTGGTTATATGGATGGGGCAACACAAGAACAGTGACCTGATCTGTGATTCTGGTGATTATATGAGATGGTGAAAATGACAGTCTACATTTATCAACACGGCACATGACGATCTAATGCTTCAATGTAAGCCTTACCACGATAGTTTTAAACTGGCTAGCATGTCTTTCTGTTTATGCAGTGAATGGTTACCCTTGTATGTTGTGAAACTTACATTAATCAATCAATGGACTACTGAGTTGTATATTTCATCCGAGAGGATTCATGTTTGTGTAAGTCAACCACATTTGTTTTAAATCAAACACCCGATGAGATAAAGCAAAATATTCCTGGCAATAAATTCCATCTTTATAATTAAGTTTTAGTTTTTGTCACTCAAATTTACAACAAGAAAACATTCGATTAAATTTCAGACACAAATATATCACACTTGTTTACCTTCAGTAATCTTTCTGGGTGAGATGGATTATCGGCCGCTTCCTCTCTGACAGCATGGAGGTCATGATGGTGGATATCTGCAGAAGTTAACAAATCTAATTGTATTTACCAATTTACATGTAAGTGCCAGTTGACTTACATCGGTCCAACGGAGAGACAGCTTGGAAATATAGTGGCAGAACACATACCCAAATGGTTACATACACAGTTCAGTGATCCTTCTAGGGTGTTGAGACCAGTTAAGAGGAAAGAACCCGCTTCTTCCATAGGACGTCATCTACTTAATATCGGACACATAATTGACACAGACAGTGCTTCCCGCGTGGTTTACCACACTCCGAACAGGAGACTTTTGAGAATCGCCGAAGCTTTATCAATAAAAATCAACAACCACCTCCTTTGTAAGCAGACAGAATTTATTGTAAATTTGAAGTTACCCTGGTAAGTCACATGACTACGGTGAGCTTCCGGCGGCCATGAAACAGACACAATGTATCGGAAGAAGCTGTTCGCATTTCAGTTGAATTTATTCAGTTTTGTGCTTTATTTTATGTTGATGTAACTCTGTAGTAACGTACCCGATGAGATACAGCGAAATATGCCTGACAATAAATTGTGCAATGTATTGTTTGTATCTGCATTATTTAAATTTCTCTAATTTCTCAGGGTAAGGTTTCAGTGATTACTTACCTTCCCACAAAACATTACCCTTGCCCAAAATCTGGACTTAAGCAGGTTTAAAAAAAAAAAAAATTAACTTTTTAGTGACATGGTGGCAGCGAGAAAGCTGTAGACTTCCCACTTGCCTCTCTGCTTCGTCGTCTAGAGATTCAACCCGCTGGATTTTTAAAATATAAAAACTGATCACCACTCCAAATTTATTTGGCTTTTTTTTCCTCTTTTTTCTGGTTTCTTAGGGTAGGGTGTGCAGACTGGTCAACCCTCAAGGGAAGACAAGGACAGAACATGGGCATTTCCCTCATCCAAGGAGGCTTCCATAAATGCAGAGACAACACACGTCTCTCTAGTACTAGGCTCTTCTTTTTTTTTTTTCGTCTCACTGATACCAGGTTTTAGCCCAGTGTTGTGGTCTTCTGTATCTGTCTTGCATTTCTCTGGGGCTTGAGTGATGGATTTGTTCATCATTTTGCAGGTTTCGGCTACACCATTTATCTGTCTCTTTCTTGGTCTTTCTCTTGCTTTCCTCAAAGATGTTCTGGTGTATAAAAAGTTTCATACGCAGTACTAGGCTCACCCAAGGAACTTGTTGCGTGCTGATTTGGGTAAAGTGTAATATTGTGTGAAGGGACAGGGGTATGAGAGTACTTCTGTGAGTTCACGGGGAATTGACCAGTGAGAAGGGTAGTACCACGAGAAAGTGGACACGTGGGTTACGGTGTGGGGGCTGAAAGCATGGTTAACAAGATAAACAGAGAAAGTGTGAATTACGTGACAGCGTGATTCTCAGGTACATCAGCCAACCACATAAGCGTGATCCTCGAGAACGCACACACGAGCATGATTCCCGAGAACGCCCATACCAGCGTGCCTCTCGTGTAAACATCATCCACCTACTTGAGTTCGACGGCGATAAATTGGGGGGCTGAGTAGTCAGTCCGAGGCGAAGAGAGAGAGAGAGCGAGAGAGACAGAGACCAGTCAGGGTCCATGATTTTCTCTCTCGAGTCTAACAGACAAGAATACCGTACGACTATCAGGCATTAAGGTCTGAGTAAGTGTTGAGGTTGAGGTACTGGTCGAAGGTATGGTCCCGCTGGCAAAGTAAGTCCAGGGGACGGGATGCTCCAGTAGTACCTGTTCTGGGTGGCGACGTAGTGAAACGTAGGAGGGCCACTAGTGAAACAGAACAGGGGGGTGAGGCCGATGAGAGCTGTGTGCTAGAGGGGACTTATGGTAGAAGTTCTGTCGGTCATCAGAGCCCGTCGACAAGCTGACGAAAACTGTGTGCTTATGGAGTACGGCAAGGAAGGTCCGTCTCCAGTCAGCTGTGGTTGTCTGCTGAAATAATATTAAGGTCCAGTGGATAGGAGAATTCGTCTTATTCAGCTGTACGGCGTGTCCGGAGTGTGGGACACTGTAGTCCTTGGAGCTGTAGTGGTCAAGGAGAGATCGCTACAAATTGAAAGAGAGAGCGAGTGAGGACAAATGGACTATGTGCGAATGTCAACTGTGATCAATATCTACGTCTCTGCAGTTTTGTTGATGTGAGGGCTGGTGTATACCCTCTTGTGTTCTGTCAATTAAAGATGCTATGTGACAGAACTATTGTCGTCGAGTTCTGTTTCCAAGTGAGGAAGCGAAAGTACACCTTTAGGCACTTGGTAGTGTGCTGATTAGTGTGTAACTCAGATAGCACACAATAGAACTGTCATGCACAAATCTATATACTTAGCTTCCCATTCATTACTGTATTTCTTTAGAGATCTCCAGAAAGCCGTCTGCAGGCCTGAGATTATCATGACCTACACAAAATGCTTAACTCAGCATGACATTTTATAGAAAACATGCATCAGACATGGCTTCTCCTTATGGCCATGTCACTCTGATGAGTATGGCCAATGGTAGTGGACTTTTGAATGAACCATTTGTCTTATCAAAAATAATCAGTGAACGAAAGACTCATCTAATAGGCCAATCGATAGACTAAAATTTGAATCTAAGTAGTCATTTAGGAGGATTTTGATCAACAGACATATTAACCAAAGTTTGTCATTCCGTAGCAAACTCATTCAGTGGACTTCTTCAGTGGACTTCAGTCAATTTCCAATTGAGTTTTCAACAGACATTACCATTTACGCACCTTGGGTCTTGATGAGTGCACAAGGATTTCTGGACACTGCATCTCTAAACGCCACCTACTCTGAGATCTCCTGCCAGCTCAGTTCAAGTCAATATAGGTCATTACTTCAAAGTCGGAGTTCATCTGCCTGAGAGGCAAGGAACCAGCAGTCTGCATACACATGAGTCAGATCTGTAAAACGGATGCACACGCGAAACTCAGGTTCTGGAACAGGACTGTAGTCTAGAAGTGGATGAACAGCTAGAACTTTCCACCAGAGTTTACAGCTGGTGAACGCGAAGAAGAATAAGAAAAGAATATAGGTCATTATCCATGGCGCACAACATGGATGTGTGGCAGGGATCTTGCATGAGGATTTGTAAAACCAGCAGAGAACCTGCTAGAGTCCAAGGTGAGATACTTATACACAGCACAGCCTTAACTTTCCCTCATGCCTATGACTGTAATCACATCACACTTTGTAAAAAAAAGTGCAGGACTTTATTACTCCAAGATACACATTTTCCCCCCACATACAAACACCTCTAAAAACAGTGTATTATAATTATGGGTGTGTCTTAGAATAAAGTTTTTCGAACCTAAGTAAAAGTGGGCAGATGTTAAAGTACCTATACAATGGAATTCTCAACAAAAACTTGACGAACAATATTATTTGATCTGGCTAAACTCAGATTATCATTATTATTACTATCACTGGAACCCAAATGCACTTTTGTGCATCATCGCAAAAAAAAAAAAATTTACAAGCACTGACCATAAATGCTCCTAGAAATTGCAGATGGTACCATAGGGTTCATCTTCAAAAACGAAACCCTGCCTCTAATTATTATATCCAGCTAGTACAATCTTGGTATTTCCACTGGTGAATAAAGTTAAATCTCTGTGTCAGTTCCATGGCCCCATTAGGGGTAGGGTGGGGCAGATCCAGTGCCCTCTTACATGCATGCGGTAAAAGGTGAATAATTAGGGATCTGCAGACATCGGATGCATTGGGTTTAAAGGTGCAGATATCGTGGCTATTTCAAGAGCAAAGGAGAAAAAGACAACAAATTCTGTAGAGTCAAAACATTTTATTTAAATGAAACTACAGGAACTAAATTTAGTATGCGTCTTCCCCGTGTGGGTTCCGGGGCCCCATTATGGGGAAAACAAGAATAGACCCACTGCATCTCCAATAAGCATGTTGTAGCAACCAACTAATTTGGAATTCCCCTCCAAGTTGGAGTGTGTCTGCCGAAAAGGGGTAAGGAACAATCAGCAGAACGCAAATAAGCCATTAAAATGGATGTAAATGCAAAACTCAAGGCCTGGCACAAAGTCAAAGTCCAAATGGATGAACAACCAGGACTTTCGTCAGAGATTACAGCTGGTGTACAAAGAAGAAAGAAGAAGTATGCGTCTTACAATAAGTTGCATCTTAAAATAGAAGAAATGTGGCATTTTTTTAGGGAAATGTTTATGTAGATGACATAATTATGAGCCATCATTAGTAAGTTGAGGGAAGAGCTAACAAAAAGTGCACAAGTAAATGACATTTGCGGAGAACTTACCATCATCTCTCCATGATGCCCCTCCTCGCTCTGGACTCATACGGTCCATCTCTCCAGCTTTGCTATGTGCACTGGAACTAGACTGGCTATCAGATCTGTGATGTCCTTGGTCCCTTCCAGAATGTTGCAGGGCTATTTTTAATGGTGACAGATCAAATGGAAGATGATATTTATTGTCTCCATTGGGAGTTGGTGCAGAGATGATTTCTATGTCAGAGGATGTGGTGGTTTCAATCTCATCACTGGATTCATGTCCACTGTAAATGCTCTTTTCCAATTCTGAATCTATCTTTGAGCTTTCCGACTTTTCACCGCTTGAGTGGTTATCACTTCCAGAATCTTCTGTCTTATTGAAGTCTTCCATTGCTTCCTCAATCATACATTTGACATAAGATGAACTTAAAGATTGTGAACTGTCATTGAGCTGCCCTGACTGAATTTCTTCAGGATGGTCAATTTCACTTCCTAGTGTGTGGCTGTCACCAAACAGGGAATAAGGAGGTTCCTTTTCCATCAAATCAACATCGCTCTGACTGTCCAATATTGATCGATCGACAATTGTATCAATACTGCTGTCAAATTTACTTGTTTCTGATGAGCCTGTACTGCTGTTTCTGCCACCACCGGGAAGGTCAAGATCACTGTTGGTTCTGGATGTGGCCACCTCTAGTTCACTGCTGGTATGGAGTTCCTCTAAGAGGCTGGTGCTGCCATCAAAGGAACTAGTTTGCGCTGCATCATTGACACTGCCGATGTTCACATAATCTTGCATGAAGTCTGACTGCGACTTATGACAGTCTGAGCTAGCCATGAGTTCTGGTAATCCAGATTCTGTGTTACCTACATCATCAACTGCAGGTTTTGCCAGAGCTTCGGAATCAGTGTATGTGCCTGGAAACTCAGAAGCTTCAACCAGAGCTGCATTATGTAATGATGGCAGAGCTCCCTCTTCTAACCAACTTTTAATGGATAAATCTGTATCACAACTTGTAACTGACAGAGAAGCATCTGCAGGTTCTATTGCTTCTGCTGGTGATGCTTCAATGGGTGTGCTGGACCCTTGAGGATGCATGTCATTTACTGAAGTGGATGTTGAAACAACAATTTCTGTGACACACTCTTCAGAAGTGGCTGTGAAATAACCTGAAGACATGCATTTAGATAAACTTCCATCTGGATTGGCATCAGTGTCTTTGGAATCATCAACCGGATCACTGTCTGCAGACTGAGATGTATCAGTCTGCAAAGGTTTGAGCTGTTGCATTAAAGCCTGCGTACAAATATTGTCTGAGCTAATATCTGCATCTTGTGCAGGTGAAAGAAGCTCTTCAATGGCATTCTGAGCGGATCCTGAGCTTGTATCTACAGGAACAATACTAACATTACTTTTAAAATCAACTGAGATATCTTCTTCAGTGTTACTGTTAGCAAGATCAAATGTATCTTTGCCATTTTCTACATCACGTAGAGATTCAGCAGCCTGAAACTGTCTGTCACTGTTTTCACATTCTGTAGACTGAACTGTATTGTTTATAAAATTCTCGAAATTCTTGTTTGCATCAACGTCAAATCCATGTTCATTCTTACTAGTTTCAGTTACATCTATATTGTCATCAACTTGCATCTCATTTACATCATCGTCCATTGGAAAATCTTGCCAACCTGTATTGAAACTCTCAGATACAGATATATTTTCTTCTTCAGGAAGTTCTTTTTCTATATCTCCATGAGCTAAAAAAACACTGGAAACATCAGAAGAGAGGTTTGGAAGATATTCTTGAGCTCTGGAAGGTGGTGACACAAAATCTGTTTCTCTGTGAGGCAAGGAGCCAAGTGTTGTAACCTCACTATCATGCACATCCACGTCTGCTTTCTTCAATGTGGATTCAGTTACTTCTGGGTTATCTTTCGTTACTTCAGTGTTAACTTTTGTGTTATTACTGCTGCCAGCTCCAAGAATGTTTTCAGATCCACTGCCTGTACTGTTCCAAGGAAGATTCCAAGAGGAATGTGATGTTGGTGAATTCTCTGCATCATCTTCACCTTCTGACTTTTTCCCTCCAAGCCATCCAGACCAGAAATCTCCATCTTCTTTCTGTCCTTGGCTTTTCTCATCCTCCTTTTGTACTGTTTTACTGCTTGACTGTGCTCCTGTAGAATACACAGAGTTTTACATTACTATAAATAATTAACTTTTAAAAATAAAAATCATAAATGATGTTCTGACAGTGGTTTATCGTTTTCTACATTTCTACATTAATAAAGTATCTCACATTTAAAATTCCATAAATTCTACTTCTTTCTCTGCATTTGTCCACATATATTTTCTGTTCAAGGATATGTGTTACGTGGAGGGGGGAAATCAGGAAGGAAATGGGATTAAAGGAAAAAAATAATTGTAGAAGGGTTAAGAAGAAGAAGCACATTAAATACATGTGATGGCAACAATAGTCTCAAAATTCTGTGCTCTAATTATGGAAGACTTTTCTTAACATGGGCGGGTCTTGCTAGTCACACTTGCCATCATGGTAGTCTACGCTTTTGCTGCCTGAGCTACTTAGTGCTTGGTGCAGCACGCTGTGTTTTTCAAGTGGAATGCCTTTAATTTGTGCAGCAGTTGTATTGTAGTATTCAATAAGGTAGCCGGTTTACATGTGAGCTGGTGAAATACCGTATGTTAAAATTGTATGTGTATATAGCCAACTTATCGTGCCCGACTACTTCCATCAACGACAAACTGCATTTTCTGGTGGTGACTGTTGGCTTGGTGTCTCTAGCAATTGCCACACACATTTACTGTGTGCAAATATTTCTAGATTTTTCCGGGACAACTGTTTGTTCACCAGGGGACAACTGTTTGTTCACCAGGGGACAACTGTTTGTTCACCAGGGAACAACTGTTTGTTCACCAGTTTTCAAATGAGACAGACAGGAACATTTCATTTGATTTTCACTGGCACAGGAACGGAGCAAATATGGGGAAACTTGATTGCAGTGAAGTTTCTAAGACTAAGACTCGCTAACACACTGGGCCATGGTTCCAAAACATACAACACAATCATCTGGAAAGACAAAAAAGGTACCAACAACAAAGAAACAACAGCACACACACACACACACAAAACACAACATTAAGTATATCCCTGTTGACTGCCAATTAGTCTATACAAATATGTGGCTAGCACCCTATGCCTAATAAAAAGAAAAGAAACATTTAGACATCTGCATAAAACTTGTGTTTGCTGACTTATCAACCATAGTCTGGTCCAGTTCTGTTACAAAAATGAAATCCTCCGGCGATAAAACTGGACTATTTATTTTACATGTTAGCAACAACAAAAAATTCTCTGAAAACAGAGCTGACAACCAGGAGAGGAGGGGCTTGACCAACAAAGACAGGATTTACGTCTGCTTTCAAGTCTGCCTGTGAGGAACCAACAATTTGCACACACAAAAACAATTTCTATAAAATGGATGTGCATGAACACTCAAATCCTGGAACAAGACCAAAGTCCAAAAGTATATAAACAATCAGGACTTTAAGCTGGAGTTTAGAACAGGTGAATGTTAAAAAGAAAGAGGAGATTAGAGTTTACCTTTATTTTCACCCAAAACAAAGGAAATCCTGGAGTTCCTGGAAAAGTCCAATATTCTAGGGGTATTATAGGGTTTGAGCTAGGATCTTCGTCAGCCCCAACCACCCGAAAGACATTGACTAACCCTAACACCAACCTATAACACCCCTAGAATATTGGATTTTCCCAGGAACTCAGGTGGATTTCCTTTGTTTGGGGTGAATAGAAAATAAATTACCAAAGAGTTAAATGCAAATTTATACGTACTACCTCTCTTTCTTCCTGGTCTGATGATGTATTGTATTAAATGCCTTTCTCAGGACATGGCAAACCAATCCCAGCATCTATAGGCCATTATTTCTAGTCAATTTTTACATTCAGTAATTGGTGCCTGCTTTCTGAACAGCAGGATGCTCATAAAATGTAAAAAGCCCCTTTCATGCCTTTGGCAATAGGGCATATAATGAAGGACCCTTTTCTATTCCTTCAGATGTATTGGGCATATAGAGCTAGGCTTATATTTTATAGACTAATCGGTACTTGGTGAGTGATGTGGTCAGCATCACGCCGGCCAAGTGCATAAAGTGCTAGACCAATATTTTGACAGACTAATCAACACTCAACGGGTGATATGGTGGACATCACGACAGCTAACATTACTTCCTAGGACAGTGATCCCCAAACTGTGTGCCGCAGGGAGCTGCGACCTCTTCATAGTGGCGCGGCGAAATATTTTAAAAACTTCATTATTAATTTAACCAAGACATGAATAGTCTTACTTTTACTTACGTTACAATTTTAATTTTAAAAAAGTCAATGTGACCAAAAAAGTTTGGGAAACACTTTCCTAGGACAATTTCCTGGAACCAATTTTAGGCTGGTTTGACCTTGCAATCAACGTCAATTCTGAAGAAGAAGAAAACTGCCTCTATACGGATCTGAACCCCTCAACCGAGAGAATCAGCAGGCCAGCACCTAGCCACTACGCATCTATGACATAAATTGTCAAAACGCAAAGCTGTTCACTACTATATTTCCCCGTGTGGGTTCCGGGGCCCTATTATAGGGAAAACAAGAATAGACCCACTGCCTACCCAAAAGCATGTCGTAAGAGTCGACTAATTGGGAGCTTCCTTCGAAGTCAGAGTGCATTTGCCTGAGAGACAAGGAACCAGCAGTCTGCACACAAATGAGTCAGATCTGTCAAACGGATGCACACGCAAAACTCAGGTTCTGGAACAGGACTGCAGTCCAGAAGTGGACAAACAACCAGAACTTTCCGCCGGAGTTTACAGCTGGTGAACGCGAAGAAAGAAGAAGAAGACTACTATATTCTATGCTGGTTACTTCAAATGCGAGTGTATCTGAAATGTGAAAAATCCTGTATACATCCCTAAGTCATGGATGAAGACAACTCTACGTAATATATGATAATCATTGTACTTAATTTACCTTTGTGTTTAGCACCCTCATCAATTTCTAGAACTTTATCAATCTTCTTCTGTGCATTCTTCAAAGCTTGTGAGGCAAGACTGGTAATTCCTGAGGTGTCCCACCAACTCATTTTGTAAGCAACAAATATGGCAGTTCTCTTCAGAGGTCAGTAATATGTACAAACACTATTCTGTAAATACAACAATGACAAATTAAAATCAAGCAAACCATTTCCTGGCTAAAGTTTAGCCGAATATATCATAATTTCAGTGAGAATGTGTAAATTACACACAAGTTTAAATAACATTCAGTCACATAAACTAGTTTTAATAACATTTAGAAACTGCACATGAAATACATATATTTGTAAAGACTTTCTTCTTTTTTGTCTTTAGGTTTAACTGAAAGCAAACTCCAGTGGAACATTCTGGTTATTTGTTCACTTCTGGACTTTGACACTGTTCTAGAAACTGAGTTTTGTGTGCATGTCTACTTTACAAACCTGGTAATAGTATGCAGGCTGCTGGTTCCTCGCTTCTCAGACACACACACTCAGACTCTGAAGGAGGACCCCCCCCCCCCCCCCCCACCCACAAATTAGTCACCGCATACAACATGTTACGGACTACGCCATAGTTAGGAAAAGTTCATTCAAGTTTGTGAGAGATGCCAGAGTCATGAGAGTATCAGAGATTCAAGGTGACCACTATCTGGTCATTATAAAGAGAACAACTGAAAGAACTGCTCCAACAAGGCAACACTGACAACCATGCAAGAAACCAAGCAACCAAGAAGGGATGAGGATTAAGGCATACATGCTAAGAGAGCCAGATATTAAGGCTAGATACCAGGAGCTTTCAGTGAAAGCAATAGGAACTGAAGAAGAACCATGAGAGGACACTGAAACCCTCTGGTGCATTCAAGAATATCCTCACAGCAGCTGCAGTAGAAGCTTGTGGTGGTCTCGAGTGGAAGGCAGGGACATAAGACACCTTGGTGGACGGAAGAAGTCGAATTAAAAATAGGAGAAAAGAAAAGGGCATGGAAGCAATACCTGGCAGCCAGGAACACAGCTGAAGAAATAGAGAAATATAAACAATATGTGGCACTCAGAACAGAGACCAAAAATATTGATTGTGCTTAAAGCAAAACAGAAATCATGGGAAGAGTTTGGAGAAAAAATGGAAAAGAATGCAAGAGAAAATCAAAAACTGTTCTTCAAGACCCTCAAGAACATGAGGAAGGAGAAAGAGTGCCCACTGAAATTAATAAAAGACAAGGAAGGGGCTCTGCTTACTTCTACAAATAATAACATGGGCAGATGGAAAGAATACTTCTCAGATCTCCTTGGTGTTGAGGGAAGCCATGACCCAGAAATAATGGACCTCGCTGCTGAGAAGGAAATCATCCATGGGGAAGATAACATTAGGATGGAAGAATTGAAGGCAGCTATTGAGAAGATTAAGCTGGGAAAAGCAGCAGGTCATGGTGGTATAACACCAGAGATGGTCAAATATATGGGAGTCCCAGGTGAGCGACTTCTCTTGAAGGTTCTCCAGGCAGCCTGGTGTAGTAAAACTATACCAAAAGATTGGGAGATTGCCATCATTATACCTATATTTAAAAAAGGTGATAACAGACAATGTGGAAACCACAGAGGCATATCCTTCCTCAGCGTTCCTGGTAAAAGTTACTCTAGAATTCTCGAGCAGAGACTTAGAAGTCTGGTAGAGCCACAGCTGGACGAGGCCCAATGCGGCTTCACAAACCGAAGTACTCAAGACCTTATCTTCATACTAAGACAGATGAGTGAAAAAGCCCTTGAATTTAAGAATGAGATGCACCTATGTTTTTTGGATCTGGAAAAGGCATTTGACAAGGTACCCTGGAACAAGCTCTGGGACTGCTTGGAAGGGAAAAACATCCCTGCACCCCTGATCAGTGCAATACAGAGTTTCTACAAAAGCTGCAGAAATTATGTAAGAACGGCAGACCAAAAGTCTGAAGAATTTAAGACCACCAGCGGTGTTAGACAAGGTGATATTCTCTCACCTCACCTCTTCATTCTTATGATGGATGATGTCATCAAGACCTGTAAGGAGAAGACAAAGAAGTACTCTGTAGGGTACTCGAAGATATCAGAGCAGGGATTTACAGACAATGTGGCCCTGACAGCTAAATCAGAGCACACCTTCAGTCCAACTTACTTGTCTGGAAGGAAGAGCTTGAAAAGAGAGGGATGACCATCAGTATCTCCAAAACTAAAACCATGGTGACCTCAAGAGAGGAGAAGAAACACCAGATCATGATGGGACAGTATGCATTGGAGCAGGTTAACCAGTTCAAATACCTTGGGAGTTGTATTAGACTGAAACAGAGGCATTAAGACTGAGCTGCCTACACGAAAAGCAACTGATGGGAGACTCTTCCAGGCCATAAACCGAGGGTTTCTTAGCAAAAGAGAAATTGGCAAGAGGACGAAAATGGCTGTTTACCGCTCTACCTATGTACCAGTCCTGACCTATGGGTGTGAGTCAGGGGCAATGACAACAGCTCACAGAAGCCAGCTGCAGGCCTCGGAAATGAGATATCTGAGAAAGGTGGTCCAAGTGACGAGAAGGGACAAAGTCCGCAATCAGACAATACGTCAAGATCTTGATACCCAGTTGTTACAAACCTGAGTGGATCAGTCACAGTTACAATGGTTTGGACATGTATGCAGAATGGGAGAAAATCGGCCACCATGGCAGGCATAGGAGGCTAAGAACCAGGGAACAAGACCTCCAGGACGACCCAGAGTGCGCTGGGAAGACAACATCTGACAATCCTTAAATGACAGAGGACTGGAATGGAACAAAGCCAGAAAGAAAACTGCTGATAGAGACGTCTGGCGATCTCTCTGGCAAACCTCTACACCCCAAGGTAGAAGAGGAGCAACTAAGTAAGTAAGTAAGTATACGACATGTTTGTCTACCCCCCCCCCCCCCCCCCTCCCTATGAGGACCTGGAACCCACTAGGGTGTTCAAGGGACTAACTGAGGTAAGTTTGTGGTCTAGATACTTTACAGGCCATACAATTATGCAAATAATGTAAGAGCCCATACAAGATTTTAATTACAGTAGCCAAATATTAATGTTAAAACAGAAGTTTAATTTTACTATTTAAGTCTGAGGGAATGATTTAACCAGTGGCGCAATCAAATATGTGCCTGTTTTGGCAACTATAATTATTATATTACAAACATTTACTTACTGGTACCAGCACAGAACATAGGAAATAGGGTACAAAAGAATCACTAGTGTTGAGCTTTGAGAGAAAACTTAACAAATTCTACTAAATCAAGAGATGCTGGTGTTGAACAGGAACGCTGAGAGAGCTGTACAGCAATACAACCTGTGTACTTGAATCCACAAGGTTAAAAAAACAAAACAATTTTAATAAAGGCACACCAAGGTTAGTTGCGTGTCCTTTACAGGATGTTGCAGAACCAACCCCAGCTGCCCCTGGCTGTTGTGTGGTTTCTCTAGGCAAATTTAAGTCCAGTAGTTTGCCATTGCTTTCTGGGCGGTCGGCCCCCTGATACCACTGTCGAAATCAACGCAAGGCGCATGGCTTGCAGCTGGGATCGAACTTGGCATTACGAAGCGTTCCCATCGACTTAGCCACAGAGCAAAGGCACGCCACATACACAAAATATTAAAACATGAGCACTCAGTAGACTTTCATCATAATCATGTCTTTTAATGTGCTACACTGTTACAATGCAGCAATTACCACCCATTCAGAGGAGGGGTTGCAATGTTTGCTATCTGTCTTTGCTGATGCATGTTTGGACTAACAAAGTGAGATAACAGTTATGGTACAAGGTGTTAACGATAGACCTGCTGTCTACATTGATGACAATCAGCTGGAGACAGCTGACCACTTTACGTATCTGGGTTCTATAGTGAATAATAAACTTGCTGGATCAAGAAATCAACATCAGGATAGGTAAGACAGCAACAACAATGAGCAGATTAATAACAAGAGTTTGGGAGAACCGAAAACCCATGAATAAAACATAAAACTCTTGTCTATCAGGCTTATGTTCCCAGCACTCTCTTTATGATAGTGAAACTTGGTCAACTTATTTACACTAGGAGAGACGGCTAAATAGCTTTCACCTTTCACATGTGATGCCTAAGAAGAATATTTGGCATTAAGTGGCAGGACAAGATCACAAACACTGAGGTACTGAAAAGAGCAGGTATTACAACAGTCTTCTCAATGCCCAGTCTATGAAGACTCAAGTGTCAACGTCCCTAAGGACATCCTATATGGTGAATTAAAGATGAGTAGAAGATGTTGAAGTCAACCTCTACTGCGATATAAAGACTTGTGCAAGCTCGAAATGAATGAAACATGTATTGAGGTGGACTCATGGGAACAAAATACCATGGACCATGTTATGTGGAGAGGGCACATCAGGAAGGGAATGAGAATGCAGGAAGAAATGATAGCAGAAAGGATGAGAGCTGAGCGGAGAAGAAATAAACTAAACACAAATGTTCACATCAATGGTCCTGAAATCCAATGCTATAACTGTGCAAGAATTTTCTTTAACGTGGGCTGGTCTTGCTAGTCATACTCGCCATTGCCATGGGCTGTGAGTCCCTGCCTCCTCACAGCGAAGTATAACACTATCATCAGGAAAGACGGAAATGGGGCCAATCAATCACTCTTCTTCTTCTTCAGCGTTCATCCGAAGATGAAACTTTGCGTTGTGTCCGTTTACAGCATGGCTGTGATATTTGCACCTTTCGGCCAACACATCCGACTTCTGTGGGCAGTTGTTGACCGGATTAGCCTTCCCGGTAATCAATCACTCAACCAGGCTAAAATTCTTTTTTTTTTTTTCATCCTAAACAACAACAGATACTATTTAACCCTCTTAGCACGGACGGGCCGATTATCGGCCGGCGGATGTCTGGCCAAAAACACGGAACGGCCGATGATCGGCCCGATCGTGTTTCGCCTCAAACCGCTAAGAAATCTCCTACTTTGAAACACTGAAAGTGATTCATTTATATTAACTGCTGTATCAGCTTCTGCCCCTAAACTTGATGTTGATAAAACATTTGAATCAAGTG